ATAAAGCAGCTAGTCTAGCAACTAGCTCTAACAAACAAATAAAATGAACGCATGTTTCAGATTTAGCTACTGGCTAGAATCACCAGGAACTATTAAGACAAAGCAGAGTCTGCTGCACTAAAGTAAGAAATAAGAGCCAGAATGAGAAGTTAAGGATTTTTCCTTAGCTGGTAAAATCAACAGAGTCTATAAAACAGAACATACAAAAGTAAGTGTGGCCAATATTTGCACCAAGTAATTTACTAGAATGACACAATAAAAATATATTTTACTTAGACCTATGTTACAATGAAATTACATATCTACAGAAAATTTTCGGCATTCAACAGTTATTTTTCACCTACATTTCTATGATAAATATCCCAGATCTCTATAAAAAAGTCTAAACAATTACAAATTAGATATTAGAAAGATGTAATAGCTGTGTTTTTCTAAAAGGTGGGTTTCTAAACATATTAATCACATTACTATAGATTCTAAGCTATATTTGGGAGATGAGTAAAGTGGTAAATTATAGCTCTTATTAATGTTCTCTTTAAAAAGTAACCCAACCCATATGCTATTTCAAAACATGTTTTAATCTTACCCACAATATAGATGAGGATTTGAAGCATTTCTTCTATTAATGTATTATATTGTTTAATCAAATCCTATAGAATCAAAAAACAATAAATTAGTTGTATAAGAACCAAAAACCTCCACAAAACATATATTTCTGCATCAGACTCATGGTCCCTCTAAGTCCAGTATTTTCTTTCAACCACAGCAACAGAAAATTATGAGGTAAATAATTCTCTTTTTGATATCAAATTCAAAAAGGTTCATAATATCTGGCATGTAACAAGAAATAGATAATAACTGCTAAATACTATTATTATGTTACTTTTTCCCTTCATAAACTTAAGTCAACAAACTAGTTCTAATCTTTAACTTTTCCTCTACTACAGGCTTCCTTCTTACCTGGGTTGGTGAGGTAGTAGCTTCAAAGAGATACTTAACAATTATGGTGAGAGTACCTTTCCATAACACAGTTCTCATTAAGCACTACTGGAAATTATTTATTTATTTTCACTAAGTAGAAAACATTTATTTTCACTAAGTATAAAAATTAGCTTTGGCCGAAACCGGTTTGGCTCAGTGGATAGAGCGTCAGCCTGCGTACTGAGAGGTCCCGGGTTTGATTCCGGTCAAGGGCATGTACCTGGGTTGCGGGCACATCCCCGGTGATGGGATGTGCAGGAGGCAGCTGATCGATGTTTCTCTCTCATCGATGTTTCTAACTCTCTCTATCTCTCTCCCTTCCTCTCTGTGAAAAATCAATAAAATATATATTTTTAAAAAAATTAGCTTTGTATTTTATATCTAATACATGGTCCTTTGCAAGTGACTTCTAATCTGAAAGAATAAAATAATGTGATTTATAAATTCAAAGTAGTCAAGAGCTACTTTAAAGTTGTTACCAAATATTAAAACAATGAAGACGTGAGAAAACTCCATGAGACAAATTATAAACTGAAAAATGTAGCAAATACAATAAATAAATAATTAATACCCTTATTAAATAAGGAACTTACAAAAATAGAAAAAGGGCAAAGGACAGGAACAGATAATTCACTACAAAAGGGGAGAAAAGGCAATAATTATGAAAACATAGTCACCTCACTGATAATTAAAAACTACAAATGAAAATGAAACACCACCTTTCATCTAGAAGATCAACAAAATTAAAAATACCAGTGCCAGCTTCTCCAGTACAAGGATCCAGTAACAACATATGCAAAGTGGTAACCAATGGATATGACTGGTTATCTATTACTTGCTCTTTGTGGAGAGTGATTTGCTGGTCTTCTCCCAATCATCTAACCCACTGATGAGCAATCTATATCCAGTGGGCAAAATCCACCCCAAAGCCTATTTTTATATGGCCCAAACAGCTAGGAATGATTTTTTACAAAAAAAACATGAGCAATCAACTGTATGGAACACAAGTGTTGAGCCTCAATTAAGTAACATAATATAACAACAAAATCCATTCTCTTCCTTGGTAGACTTATACTACAAAACTCAATTATTATTATTACTAGCATCTCAGTGCATGAAATTCGTGACTCAGAGGAGGGGAGTCCCTCAGCCCGGCCTGTTCCTTCTTGCAGTCTGGGAGTCCTAGGGGGATGTCCAACTGACAGCTTAGGCCTGCTCCCTGCTGGCAGTCAGACATCCTTAGCACTGCCACCACTACCACTGCGCTCGCCAGCCATGAGCCTGGCTTCAGGCTGAATGGTGCTCCCGCTGTGGGAGTGCACTGACCACCAGGGGGCAGCTCCTGCATTGAGTGTCTGCCCCCTGGTGGTCAGTGTGCGTCATAGTGACCAGTTGTTCTGCTGTTAGGTCGATTTGCATTTAGCCTTTTATTATATAGGATATTTTTAATTTCATCAACAAAAATTGTGGAAATTTATTTTCTGTTTAAGTACCTACTTACACTCAACTTGGCCTCTGGGCTCGCAAAGAATTGCAGTTATTGTTAAAATAAAAAGGAACCAATTACTATTTCACCAAGTTTAGCTTAATTTATATGTAATTTAAATATGCTATTTTGTGGTATCATTTTTGAAATTCATATTTATTCACCACACACAGGTTTTCTTTTTTTTCATTATTGTTATTGTTTTTCATTTTCAAAGGTAGCTCACATTTTGAGGTTGTTTGACAGCTTGTTTCTGGTGGGTGCCAAATAATGTGCAGTGTGGTGTTAAAAGGTAATTCAGTCATCTAAATATATGCTTCAATAAACACAACTTAGAAAGGCCAAAAAATTTTTTTAAATGCTACTACGGATGTACTGCTAGAGAAATCTTAAATCAAAGTAACTTTTCTGAAAGCAATTTAACAATATACATGAGGAATCTTAAGAAAAAGTATCCACTAGCCCTGACCAGATAGCCTAGCTAGTTACAGCATCCTCCCAATATGCCAAGGTATGAGTTTGATCTACAGTCAGGGCACATATAAGAATCAACCAATGGCTCAGCCAGTTGTGGCTCAGCGGTTGAGTGTCGACCTATGAACCAGGAGATGGTGCTTGGATTCCTGGTCAGGGCATATGCCAAGGTTGCAGGCTTGATCCCCAGTAAGGGGTGTGGAAGAGGAGGGCCAATCAATGATTCTCTCTCAATATTGATGTTTCTATCTCTCTCCCTGTCCCTTCCTCTCTGAAATCAATAAAAACATATTTAGGGGGGAAAAATCAACTAATGAATGCATAAATAAGTGGAATAACAAACGGACATCTATCTGTCTGTCTTTCACTTACTCTCTCTCCCTTCCTCTCTTTCTAAAATTAATAAAGAAAAATTTTAAAATATATTTTTATTGATTTCAGAGAGGAAGGGACATAGAGATAGAAAAGAAACATCAATGATGATAGAGAACCTTTGATTGGATGCCTCCTGCACGCCTCACATTGGGGACTTAGCCTGCAACCCAGGCATATGCCCTTGACTGGAATCGAACCTGGGACACTTCAGTCCACAGGCCGATGCTCTATCCACTATGCAAACTGGCCAGCGCAATAAAAAATTTAAAAAAAAATAAAAAGCACATTGTTTTGTCCAGCAAATCTACTTCAAATAATTTATCTTAAGCCCTAGCTGGTTTGACTCAGTGGATAGAACATCAGCCTGTGGACCAAAAGGTCCCAGGTTCGATTCCGGTCAAGGGCATGTACCTTAGTTGGAGTCTTCTCCCCAGCCTAGGCTCTGGTCAGGGTACATGCAGGAGGCAACCAATCGATGTGTTTCTCTCACATTGATGTTTCTCTCTGTCTTTCCCTCTCTCTAAAAATCAATGGAAAAATATCCTCAGGTGAGGACTAAAAAAAATAATCTATATCTATATATATAAAAGCCTAAGCAATCAAACACCTGAACAACTGGTCAACTGGTCACTATGACACACACTGACCACTTAGGAGGCAGACACTCAACGCAGGAGCTGCCCTCTGGTGGTCAGTGCGCTCCTATGGCCAACCTCCCATGGCCAGCCAACCTCGCACTGTCTCTCCCTCGGCCGGCCGTTCCCCTCACCCCCACCCCCTATTAGCAGTGATCAGTAACGATCGCTAGCCAGGCTGAGGGACCCCACCCGTGCATGAATTCATGCACCGGGCCTCTAGTAATAATAACAGTTAGGCAAGTGTTTAAACCTTGAGGTACAGAGATGTTATAAGACTAAAAACCTAAAAAAAAAACCTCTTCAGCAATAAGGAACTAAAATAGCATTTTTGAACATTTTTTATCTCATAGCACACATAAAAGAATTACTAATAAAAAAACAAACAAACAAACAAACAAAAAAAAAAACCCAACAACAAAAAAAAGAATTACTAATATTCTGTGGTACAATAAAAATATATATTTTTTGCCTATCTGACAAAAAATTAGGTATAATTTTGTAGGATTTAAAAATAATAATAATAAATAATAGTAATTATCTATTTTTTTACTCCAAAATGAATTTTAAAAAAAATCAGGTACCTATAGTTGTATATAAGGATTTCTGGTAGCGAGAATTAACCAATCACATGCAACCTTATCATGTGACATGACCAATAATATGCAACTCTATTATATGACCTATATATTTATGGTTCAAGACAGGACATTTACACCAGATGGCTATTGTTGTGTTGGCTTTTGTCATTTTTTTATTTGACAATATAAGGGAAAAGAAGTCAGTGTCCCTGACAAAATAGTCAGGTCAGGTATTACATGTTTTAAAAATTCTTGCAGCACACCGGTTGAAAATCACTGGACTAAAGCATAATGCATTCATATACCACCATTAAAAATGATGTTGTAAAAAAATGATATAGTTGTATATTTATTTAGTAAAAAGAAAAGGCCCATTGCACTATTTTATTAAGTACAGAAAGCAGGTTATAAAATAGCACATATAAAATGATCCTATTTTTGTTTTAAACAAAAAAGACACCTAAACTTTAAAAGTGATCAATTTGCCCTGACCGGTTTGGCTCAGTGTATAAAGCGTCGGCCTGCAGACTGAAGGGTCCTGGGTTTGATTCCAGTCAAGGGCATGTACCTTGGTTGCGGGCACATCCCCAGTAGGGGGTGTGCAGGAGGCAGCTGATCGATGTTTCTCTCTCAAACTCTCTATCCCTCTCCCTTCCTCTCTGTAAAAAATCAATAAAATATATATTTTAAAAAAGTGATCAATTCTAGGATGTAGTGTTTCATGTGATCTTTTTCTTCATTTAAAAAAATCTATATGTTCTAATTTTTGCAGAGTAAAAAGAGTATATGTGAATATATATGTAAGAGTATATGTATGTATCTGTAAATATATATATATATACATATATATATATATATATATGCATGTTACCTGTATGTGTGATTTTTGCAGATACAGATAAAAAATACCAATACTAAATATGATTAAAATAGTTAACAATAACATTTTATTTGGAATTATTTCACATCTCAGTTTCTGTTGCTTACCTGGTCATTTGTAGATATGGTCTTTTTAAAAGCATCAGCAAGTTCATACCTCTGAAGTATCAGTAATAAGAACTTGTTGGGATCCATTAAAGATGCACCAATCTGTGAAAGACACAGAGCATCACAGTTTGTGTGTATTAAATCAGAAACATTTTGCCTCCAATAGTACTGTCAGAAAAATTATAAAATAAGTCTGTAGAAGAAAATGTAGTAGTCCCTTTTACTTCTATGATGTCATATTTTAACAGTGAGAAAAATTTAAGTAATTTAAAAAATAATTACAATATCTTCTCTTATTACTAGGAATCTAAGAAAGAAGGTTAAGACATAAATAACAGAAGTAATTCAAATAGGTACCTGAAGCATGATGATATCTTTATCATACATTTCTTCTCTGCACTTAACATCCTGGTAATAAAACACCTATAAAATAAAAGGTAGAATAGAAGCTATAAGAATTATTTTATCTCAAACAGAATTCTCAACAAAAACTATTCTTTAAACTTTCTCTAAACTAGGAACTCCAAGAACTCCTTAGTGGCAAAACACTAAATTGTAAATCTACAAAATATTTTTTTTTAAATATATTTTATTGATTTTCCACAGAAAGGAAGGGAGAGAGATAGAGTGTCAGAAACATCGATGAGAGAGAAACATCGATCAGCCGCCTCCTGCACATTCCCCACTGGGGATGTGCCCGCAACCCATGTACATGCCCTTGACCGGAATCGAACCCGGGACCCCCCAGTCCGCAGGCCGATGCTCCATCCACTGAGCCAAACCGGTTTCGGCTACAAAATATTTTAAGGGACTTGTGAGGATAAGGCGAGAAAATGTGGTATGAAAATATTTCAGAGTTGAAAAATGCTTTATATTAGTTAGTACTCTTGACATGTATAGTTAAAAATTTTATTTTTCTTAAATTTAAAATACCCATTTCAATAAAAGTAAATCAATACAATCAGTCATAACACCATTTTTCTCCCAACTGGGGTATATTTACAATTTCTATTTCCCCAACTTTTAGGAAATGCACTTCTCTTTATTTGCCCTAAAACAGAAGGAAAAATTATAAGGTGGCCTTCAATTAAGACAGGTTGTAGGAAGGCTACTGATCCCCAAGCAAGGTAATCTTTAGAAAAGACCTATGTCAATGGGCAGGGCTCTGGTGGTACTACTGGCTGTCACCTGATCTAGCCACTCAATAGCATAAAAGTAGAAATGTCTACATGGTCACTAGAACTTTCATTTCTGATTATACAAGAAAACAGAAAGCAAATACTCAGCAAAATCCAGGGACACAAGGTAAACTGATATGGGTTTTTTTAAATTAGAAAATGAACACATTCATAAATGTGAATAATGGCCTTACCGTACCTGGCTAATGAGAGAGAGCCCATTTCTTCGCCACATCTCAGCAACAACCTGGGCAACTAATACCAGACAACGCAAAGGAAATTCTACTAGTGCCTCTACTTGAAAGTCCTCCTGAAACAGAGTGAGGTCAATTTTATTATTTCTCAGAAGGCTTGGATGTGTCTCACAGTTATGGCAATATATATATTCTTCAGTATTCTTATCAGTAAAATAAAAGGGCTTGAATTAGATGACTAAATCCCTATGATTCAGATTTCAATGTACTACATATAGATTTAAAATTACTAAATGGGAATTATTCATGTGGGTTTCAAAATATTATATTTCTTCCCACTCATCCACCAAAAGATATTTAAAATAGGATATAAGCCAGTCAACACTTCATATAGGCACTTACATAAGGCACAAATTCATGCAGTCTTGCAACACCGCCCAGCCTGCTTAAACGCACATGAAGACCTAATGGTTAAAAAATAAAAGGAGAAAAATTAAAAAGTAATAAATCCAATTAAGTTTGATTCTTAATCAACTCATCAAATTTAGACATTTGTGAAATTTAAAAATACCATTTATTGAGTTTAAAAATGACACCTCAAAATATAAACTTTTGATTTCTAATTCTGAAAGTATTACTAATATATTTAAGTTCCTACACTGTGCAAGGTATGCTTATACATTATATAAAAATAATATGTTGTTTATAAAGACATGCTTATTTTTCACTTAACCACGCATCAAAAGAAACAACTTAGATCTAAGTCTTTTTTTATAAAAATAGAAGTGACATAAAATGACATGTCCATTACACAGCATACCAAAAATAACTAAAAGTGGGTCAACGACCTAAACTCAGGAGTTAAAATTATAAAACTCTTAGAAGAAAACATAGATAAAAGGCTCCAAGACATTGGATTCGGCAATAATTTCTTAACTATGACACCAAAAGCACAGGTAACCAAAAGAAAAATAAATTATAGACTATATCAAAATTAAAACCTTTTGTGCATCAAAGGACACTATCAACATAGTGAAAAGGCAACCCATAGAATGGGAGGAAATATTTGCAAATCATGCATCAAATAAGCAGTTAATATACAGAATATATATAAGAACTCCAACAACCCAAAAACAAAAGATCTGATTAATGCCTGGCTGGTGTGGTTCAGTGGTTGAGCATCGACCCATGAACCAGGTGGTCACGGTTGGACTCCAGGTTGGGGCACATGCCTGGTTTGTGGGCTCGATCCCTATAGGGGGTGTGCAGGAGGCAGCCGATCAATGATTCTCTCATATCATTGTTGTTTCTGTCTCTCTCTCTCCCTCTCCTTCCTCTCTCTGAAGTCAATAAAAACATACTTTTTAAAAATGACTTGAATAGACATTTCTCCAAAGATATACACATGGCCAATAAGCATAGAAAAAGATACCCAGTATCACAAATCACTAGAGAAATGCAAATCAAAGCCACAATGAGATATCATTTCACAATCACTAGGATGGCTATTAAAAAAAACAAGAAGAAAGTAAGTGTTGATGAGGATGTGGAGAAGCTGGAATCCTTGTGCATTGCTCATCCTAAATAATAAAAGGGTCACGCCGAAACCGGTTTGGCTCAGTGGATAGAGCGTCGGCCTGCGGACTGAAAGGTCCCAGGTTCGATTCCGGTCAAGGGCATGTACCTGGGTTGCGGGCACATCCCCAGTAGATGTGCAGGAGGCAGCTGATCGATGTCTCTCTCTCATCGATGTTTCTAACTCTCTATCTCTCTCCCTTCCTCTCTGTAAAAAATCAATAAAATATATTTTTTAAAAAAGGGTCACATGCAAATCGACTGAATGGCGGAACGACCATCACTATGATGCACACTGACCACCAGGGGGCAGACACTCAATGCAGAAGCTGTCCCCTGGTGGTCAGTGTGTTCCCACAGGGGGAGCGCTGCTTAGCCAGAAGCCCTGAGCCAGGCTCCCCGAGGGCTCCCGGACTGCAAGAGAGCACAGGCCAGGCTGAGGGACCCCCCCAAGTGCATGAATTTCATGCATCGGGCTTCTAGTAGGAATATAAAATGATGTAGCTGCCATGAAAAACAGTATGGCAATTCCTCAAAAAAATTAAAGAGGAGAATTACCTTAAAATCCAACAATTCTACTTATAGGTATATATCCCAAAAAACTGAAAACAGGGCTCAAAGAGATATTTGTACACTCATGTTCATACCAACAGTATTCACTATAGCCAAAAGGTGGAAACAACATGAAGCATCCACTGATGAACAGATAAACAAAATGTGACATATACATATTATAGAATATTACTCAGCTTCAGAAAGGAAGAAAATTCTGATACATGCTACCACATAGATAAACTTTGAGGACATTATGCTAAGTGCAATAAGTCAGTTATAAAAGGAGATGTGTATGATTGCACTCATATGAGGTACCTATAATAATAAAGTTACAGAGACAGAAAGTAGAATAGTGGCTGTCAGGAAATGCAGGGAGTGGGAAATGAGGAGTAAACTTGAATGGGTACAGAATTTGAGTTTGGGAAGATGCAAAATAATCTGGAGATGGATATTGGTGATGCTGCACAAAACAATGTACTTAATGCCACAGAACTAAACAGTTAAAATGGTAAATTTTATATTATGTATATTTTAGCACAGTTAAAATATATACACTTCTATAAAGTTTAAAACAACAACAACAACAACCCTGACAGGGCTAGTTTACATGGAAATGCAAATCAAAGAATGAATAAAGGAAATCTAGATCTTTCTTTTGGTGGTGAAAGAAACAGTGACACCACAACACTTGTGCAATTTAGAAGAAAAGAGATTAAAAACCAGCACCAGGATTTTACTATATTGAGATTTGGGCGGGAGATGAGTTATCAAGTTAGTCTTTAAGTGTGTACTGTAAGATCCATTTGTTGATCAAGATGACAAAAGGCCTAGGAAAACAAGCCTCCTTAGATGTTTAGTGACAGCTCTTTGAAGGACAGTGACAGACCTTAATTGCGGTATCTGATCTGAGCATGCCTATACATACTTAGCACAGAACAAAAATAGGTATGATTCTAGTACTCTGGATATCTAGGAAACATAGCTAATAGAAACAAAGCAAAAAACCAACACTCACCAGCAAGAGTCCTTGAGAGTGGAAGATGTATGCTTACGAGGTCTTCAGATACTCTGTAGGACTTAGTTTCCAAAGTGTGACCACACAATTGTACTACTGTCTTGCTACTAGACATAAAACTTGTACTACACCTCATCACAGCTTTGTGACATTCTTTATAAGCCACTAGTAAGAGTTCTTCCTAGAAGAAAAATGGAAATAAAATGACAAATGATCTACTTTACCACATTATTCAATAAATATTTGCTAAGTACAAGCGCAAAATTGTTCTATGTATTACTAGGGCTACCTCCACAGGATCTGTAAACCAGTAGGAAATATAAGACAGAGAGAGGCACATGCCCGTACACACACACACACACACACACACACACACACACACACAATGTGAAAAATCGTACTAGTAAGTACCATGTAAATGATAGAAACTATTCCACTAAGAGGGGGGAAAAGCATCACAAACAACTGGGAAGACATAATGTGAAAGCAATTTTTGAGTGGGGTCTAAAGAATAAGCAGAATATAAATATGGAGAAAAGATGAGAAAATGATGTAAGCAAAGATACAGAATAAGCAAAGAAAAATAACGGAGAATATACCTTCTATTCAGGCAATAGAAAGGAATAAAAACTAGAAAAATCCAAGGTTTTGTGGATGGAATTAATGAGCAATTAAAGTGGAAATATGCCTTGGCATTGGCATGAATACATTGATGGTATCTGAAGTATAATAATATAGACAACTCACTGCTTCAAGAATTAATGGGTGTCAATAGAATAGAGAGTAATGTTAGGAACCAACGAAACCAGTAGGAAGATTACTACAAAGTCTAAGTGTAAGGTGATAAAGGGTCTCAAGTAGAGTGGGAGTAGTCAAGGCAAAAAAAGAACCCAAAATAAATGTTAGGATTATCACTTCTTTGTTGTTGTTAATCCTTAACCGACTGTATTTTTCCATTGATTTTTAGAGAGTAGAAGGGAGGGAGAGAGACAGAGAGAGAAACATCGATGTGAGAGACACATTGATTGGTTGCTTCCTGCACATGTCCCAAAAGGCGGCTTTTTAAGATAGTGCTTCTCAAACTGATTTTATCTTCAAAAAGGAATACTATTATCAAATAAATTTTGGGACTATCCCTCTTAGAAATGAGCACATTAATTAAAGAGTTTGTGAAGTTCAGGCCCTGGCTGGGTAGCTCAGTTGGTTAGAGCATCATCCCAATAAAACAAGATTGTGGGTCTAATCCAGGGGTGGGCAAACTTTTTGACTCGAGGGCCACAATGGGTTCTTAAACTGGGCCGGAGGGCCGGAACAAAAGCATGGATGGAGTGTTTGTGTGAACTAATACATGTTAACACTGCTGCTGGTGAAGGAGCAGAGGGGAGAGCAAGAGAACCCTCCGCTCTTTCGGCTCCACGGGCCATAGTTTGCCCACGGCTGGTAATCACTGGTGAGGGCACATACAAGAATCAACCAATGATCCTGGCTGGTATGACTCAGTCGGTTGGGCATTATCCTGTGCACCAGGAGGTTTGATTCTTAGTCAAGGACACAAGACAGGGTTGCAGGCTCAATCCCTAGAAGGGGTATGCAGGAGGCAGCAGATTTATGTTGTACTCCCACATGGATGTTCTCTCTCTCTCTTTTCCTCTTTCTAAAAATCAATATTCTTTTAAAAAAGTCAACCAATGAATGCATAAATAAATGGAACAACAAATAGATCTCTTTCTGTCTCTTTAAAATCAATAAATTAAAAAAAAGTTTAAAAAGTTCAGTGGCTTAAAAATTCCTGTTTGTTCAACCTAGCATTTCCCAATCTTATGTGAGCACAAAGCTTGTATTCTTTAAATATAATTTTTAAAAATATATATTTTTTATAGATTTCAGAGAGGAAGGGAGAGGGAGAGAAGACAGAAACATCAAGGATGAGAGAGAATCATTGATTGGCTGCCTCCTGCACACCCCTTACTGGGGATCGAGCCCACAACCTGGGCATGTGCCCTTGGACGGAATCAAACCCGGGAACCTTCAGTCTGAAGCCCAACACTTTATCCACTAAGCCAAACCAGCTAGGGCGCACAGAACTATTTTTACCATCAAAAATATCTGTTGACAATTTAACACAGAGAATGCAGTAGCTCTTGAGACTTCCCATATAGATGAATGTATGAATCATAGTGTCATTAATGGAACAAGAGCAGTCAAGAAGAGAACATGCAAGTTCTAAGTAGTAGGAAATGATGACAAATCAATTTATTATATTCTTTTTTCTTTTAAATGATTTCAGAGAGGATGGGAGAGGGAGAGAGATAGAAACATCAATTATGAGAGAGAATCATTAATTGGCTGCCTCCTGCGCACCCCCCACTGGGGATCGAGCCCTCAACCCAGGCACATGCCCTTGACCGGAATCAAACCTGCAGACCCTTCAGTTCACAGACTGATGCTCTATCCACTCAGCCAAGCTGGCCAGGGCTCAATATTATATTCTTATGTGCTCTGACCGGGAATCGAACCTACATCTAACACACAAACAGAAATGATATTATAGCTTGAAAGAGTTATTTATATGAAGTTTTAATTGTGGTAGTAGAAATAAAAAGAGACTATTGGGAAAGGTCTCATTTAAATGGGCAGTCAATAGAAATATTGGACAATGTAGATTTGTGAAAATTAGAGGGAAAGAACGTTTCAAAAAGGTTAAGGTACTCAACAGGAAACAATGCTATAGGCATTTTAAGGAAGATGGGGCCTTAGAGAAGACCTCTGAATTTGGTTACTTAAAAAGATCCTTTGAAATTTTTTCAAAAAGCAATTCCTGTCATTTGGTAAGGGCAGAAGCCAGACTCTAAAGAGCAACAATCTATACTAATAAAAGCCTAGGTGGTCCTCGTGCCCTCACGTGATGCCCTCACGTCATCACAAGATGGCCACCACAAGATGGCCGGCAGGGAGGGAAGTTGGGGGTGAACAGGCCAGCAGAGGGCAGTTGGGGGTGATTGGGGCGGCAGGGAAAGGCAGTTAA